ACTAATAGACAGTGAAAGAGATAAAGAGAGTTAGGGATACGGATGAGAGGGAGCAAGGAATGAAGAGAGGGCAAGGAGAAAAAGAGAGAGATAGGGAGAAAGAGAAAGGGAGGGAGGGAGGGAGAGAAAGAGAGAGAGACAGACAGACATATAGGTAGAAAGAGAGAGAGACAAATATAGAAATAGGTAGGAGACAGAGACACAGACAGTGATAAGTAGAAAGAGAGAAGGAGAGAGAGAGAGAGACAAACAGATAGAATTAGGTAGGGAGAGAGAGAGAGAGAGGTAGGTAGGCGGAGAAAGAGAAAGAAAGAGAGGGAGAGAGAGAGAGAGAGAGAGAGAGACGGGACAGACATAGGTAGGAAGAGAGAGACAGAGAGACAGACAGAGATGGGTAGGAAGAGAGAGAGAAAGAGAGAAGGGGGGAGGAAGACACCGCCCAAACAACTCGCCCAGATGCCCCGTAAGGCCTTGGGTCGTTCCGAAATAAGTCGGGATAAAAACAGCTGAGATGAGACACAGGGGGAGGGGGGAGGTCGAGGGAACGGCAGGGTGGGTAAAGTGGTCTGAGCTGAGGGTATATATAGCTAGCTCGCCTCTTCCACCGAGTATCGTCAGTTGAAGCATCTTCCTGCCAACATGAAATTCGTGAGTATCGTTGGCATGAATGGAGTTACGGCATCAATGAAATACTTTACCATGACTAAGTGATGTTTCGAGCAGAATCTTTTGCTGTTGTGCTTTGATTTCAATTCATTTATCACTATAGTATTTTTAATAGGTACCCTGGTCACATAAACAAAAAAACATTTATAATTCGGTCGGTTTTAGCAAACTACAAAATTAAGCCATAAGGTTCTATGATTGTTTCTACTTCTACCGTGTGTGTGTGTGTGTGTGTGTGTGTGTGTGTGTGTGTGTGTGTGTGTGTGTGTGTGTGTGTGTGTGTGTTGCATATATATATGCATATATATATATATATATATATATATATATATAGGTAGAAAGAGAGAGAGACAGACAGACATATAGGTAGA